GGATCCTGACCCGCCGGCTCCCGGCCGCGGGGATCTGGCCGCCTCGCGGGGTCGGGAGCTGCCGGAGGCGCTCTCCCCGCCGCGGCGCTGCCCCAGACTCACCCTCAGCGAGGCACAGAGTCGCCCAGTGCCCGTCCGGCTCTCACTTGCCCCGGCGCTGTCTCTATGGAGCTCAATGTACTGCAATGGCTGTGAGAGCGGGAGCCAGACGCAGCCTCCTCACTCTCTCCGCTCTGTAACATTACTCTCCAGCCAGCGCGCCTCCTATTGGCTACCGCCAACTCACGGGGCTCGCTCATTGGCCCGATACCTCCCATTGTCCTGACCAGAGCCCGTTTGCTATTGGCTGTCTCCGGGGACACGTCATCAAGGATTGAAACAGCGCGCAAATCTGAATGTGTGTGTATGCCGGGCAAAGAGGCTGAGGCGGGAGAGGCAGAGGCAGAGGCAGCAGCTGCTACGGGAAAGCAGAGCTCTATGGTGTATGTGTGCATGTGTCTAACCCAAGCCAGCCCCACACCGGAGCGGCCGCCGGAGCGAAAAGGGCCTGACTTTTCCACAAGTGTCTCCAACTCCTCAGGCAAAAGAGACACCCACAGGCCTGCCCCCCCCTTCTTACCCCAAACTCACTTCCAAAGCCGTTGAGATAAGAGGCCCCAGACTTTTAACAGACCTTCAAAAGTGAGAGCGACAGGATGAGATCACGTCCCCTGAAAACAGAGGCTTCTGCTCGTGCGGGGGGGCCAAGGCAGTCGAGATTCGAGTTCCTCAACAACATATGGTTGCATTACACTTTAGATCTCTGGAAGGGCAGGGCTTTTCCTATAAGAAAGTGACACGATCCAGTCAGCCGGTTTTAAACTAACCCCTTTTCTGGGCTCATGAGCCCGTACCGTCAGGCTTGCTGAGCAGCTGAAATCTTGACTCACTGAACAGGCATTCAGTTTCACCCTTTTTTTGGTTTGATCGAGTTTCACAGCTTGTCTAGAACTTTTTATTTAAATACAAAGCACTGTCTCAACTTCCTGGAAATCAAATAATTATTCCATGTAATTAAAGCACAGCCACTTCGTTTTGATATGGGGTACTCTGGCAGGAAATGTTTGTGAGGGCCTGCTGGAATTAGCAAATTCATTAGAGACCACATTTTCAACTGTTTGGCTGTTTTATTTGACTTGGTGTGGATTACTGTTATAATCAAACGAATCCTTGTGATGCTATCTTTCCCTCCCATCACACCACTTAGTGCATCCATGTAACTGCTCTAGGATTACAGGAGTCGTAGGTATATCGTTACCCGGAGGATTAGATGGAGGCAGAGTGCATGTGCCCAAATCCACAGGCTGTGGTTTCTCTAACTCATCGAGCTGGCTGGTATCAACAGACATATTTACTATGTCTGTAAAGAAAATGTGCTAGCTATACTAGTGAGTTCTGAAGACTATACAGTTATATCAGTCCTTTATAAAACTATTATCTGTTCCTTCCTAGCCTGGGCAGACCACACCCCTATTCAGTTATAACAGACTTCCCTTTTTTTCATTCTTTAGTGGTATGTTTCTACACTTCTAGATTCACCAGCCAATTCAATAGACCAAAGTTAAAATAAATCACTTTATTATGTTAATTTTATTTCTTATATCCAATCTAAGCATCCATAACTTAATGTAGTTGCTCAGATTTATTGAGCTATTTGAGAATAGACTTAGAAAACCTTTCTTGACCTACAATTTTAATGTTTACTCCTTTTTTAAAAAATACATAATTGGTCTCAGGGATTATAGTCTTAGAATGGACAATGCATGACATATGAATATGAAAAAGAGCTTAATATTGAAGAATATGTCAACTAGTATAATGCACACTCAATGTTTAAAAAGCAAACATCTAAAGTTAACTTTTATATTATTTCCACACATACTTACTCTCCTTTACTTCTCTCTACTAATCAAATGTTATGCTTTATTTAAATCTAGGCATTTACTTCAATTGTTTTATCTTCTTGATGTCTGTATTACAAAATATTCATGAATTGCACTTTAAATGGCATCTATGATGTCAAAATTTGACTCTTATTTGAAGATAGCACTATCAGTATTTTCCAGGAGCACTGCTGGGTTTGCCCTGGCCCAACCACTTTTTAAGATATTTTTACTGGTTGTCTATAATAGCTTACTCCTGCCAGGGTAAGTTCATGGTCACAGAACAACATGAGAGCAATGGGCCCACACAGGTTTCTATTTCAGCAGGATGGTATGGTGAGTAACAGACATTGGATTTAAACAGACCTAGGTTCAAATCCCAGCTCTGCTATTTACTAGCTGTATGATTTCAGGCAAATTTTTAAAAACTTCTTTGTGTTTTAAATCTCTCAGCTAAAAAATGGAGGTGATCACCAGGTTGTTGTAAAGATTAAACTTTTTTTTTCCCCAAAGGTTTAAAACTATGTCATGCAGATGCCTTCAAGCCCATGACTTAGAAAACCCCAAGTGCAATTAGCCCTAAGGTTTTTTTCGTATTTTAATTTTATATGAGGACAGTGTTTGCAAATCTAATTAAGCTTCTGAAAAAAAAATTCTACCCTCAAACAGCACTAATCTTCATCCAGTCTAGTGATGGTACCTTCATTTATTCCCAAGTATAGCAGAGGCCATGTCACAGAGAAGAGTATTAAAACCTCCACTTACTGGCACATTTTTCATATTTTCTTTTTGTGCAAAAAGGGAGCAATGTAAAAAGGGGAGAAATTTTAAGTAAACCCTACAATTTCTAGCTCTAATCCTGCAACCTGAATGTTCATTTATTTATGATATTAGACCCTCTCCTTCTTCAATGTGTTTCATTAGCCACAAATTGACACATATATTACTTTAGGGTAGTTGGATGTTTTATCCCAACTTACAAAGTTATCTAATTCAAAAAGCCTGAACACTCTCTCCCATGCCTAATTTAGCCAACTAAATTACAGATCTTTATTAACATAGTTTACACCCTTCCTGAAGCCAGCCTCTAGGACAGGTGAAGCACCTCTCTTCTGGGATCCTATCATATTCTGTACATTAATTAATTACTGTGCCCACAATTGTAATTATCCAGTTATGGGCCTCTGTGTCCCACTGTATTGCACCTCTTCAAGACAGGAACTCTATCTTATCTTTGCATCCCAAGCACCTAGCAGGATGCCTGGCATAGAGCAGGTACTAAATAAAGTCTGTTGAATAAATGAATTAGTAGCCGAAAGAGTACTTACTGCAAATTATTGTTTTAATTTTTCTTTTCCATCTTTAGAGATAAACATTTGGGTATTTCTAAATCAGAAGGCAGGAAAATAGAATAATAAGTAATAAGTAAATGTTAGCTTATTAAGATTGAGGATAGATGTCAATCACCTCATTCTTACAACTTAAAAAGAGGAAGATGGAGTTGGGGGCCGGAGGGAATTGCAGATACAGACAAACACATACATTTGTAGTATTTACAAGCTCCCAACTAGGCCAAGGTTATTCTTCCTTGGATACCGTGAGCTATAGGAAGCCAAGTAAGAATTTATCACAGAAAACTGCAAGAACGTCTGCCCAAAGGTTGCTTCCAATGGACATTTGAGACTTAACTCTAATGTAAAAAAATCCAAATGCAGACAGGGGGCTGGAAGTTTTCAGCTGAAGGATACTGATTCCTCCTTATGCAGTGAGACCTGAAGTCAAGCTGTGTGACTCTTCTTGTCTCTCCTCAAAAAGGCCAGTTTCTGAAAAGGAGTAGAAACAGTAACCCTAAATGTCTGACAAGGTCAGCTGTACTCAGGATCCTGCATACTTAGAGACACTTTTTTGTTTAAAGGATGCTGAAAATAAAAGAGGGAGGAATTCAGGAGAAGAAAAGAATACAGGCTGTGAACGAGAAGAGTCCCACCCTCAGCCCTCAACCCATGATGCGTGGCCTCTGTAGCCACTAAGTTCCCCCAACTCTTACTTGAGGGTAGTGATGATGCCATATCTCACTGGCAAGGACGTTACAGGACTAAATGTATGGACACAAAGGAGAAGAAGAGGCGGAGTGTGATCTGTCAGTGCGTGGAGAAGAGGAACCTCGTCCTGGGCTGCGCAAGGACTTCTGCCCTAGCCCAGGGCTTCTGTCCGAATGTGGCTTGCAGGTGGGGAAATCAGTGGTTTCAGCTGTGGGTGGCATTGATGGCTCAGGCAAAGAAAATGGTACGGAAGCTAATTTATACCAACAATACCTCTACAATCGGGATATTTCACTGATAAATAAGGAAGAAAACTTACACCTTTTCTTAAGAAGATGCGCATTCTCTGGTTAACCAAAGAATGGTACACGTGAAGAGGGGAAAACTCATTAGTGAAAGTTTTTATAAAATGGTAATCTAAATTCAGACAAGATGACCATTTTAGGTTTTGATCTCCAGAATCACCTCAAGAGGCCAAATTCAGTTGCCCTATTAGAAGGGCCATAAACCTTAAGAACAAATGTCTTAGCACACCTACTAAGATGGTTATAATAAAAAAACAGACACGACGAGTGTGGGTGACAATGTGGAGAAAATGGGCGCGTTGAACACTGTTGGTGAGAATGTGAAATGCTGCAGCTGCTTTGGAAAAGTCTGACAGCTCCTCCAAAGGGGAAACACAGGGTTATCATATGACCCAGCAATTCCACGCCTAGGTGTGTACCCAAGAGAAACAAAGCCATGTCCACACAAAAAGCTGTACATGAATGCTCATAGCAGCATTATCTGTAATAGTCAAAAAGCAACCCAAATGAACCCAAATGCTCATCAACTGATGAGTGGATAAATAAAATATAGTATATCAATGGGATTAAATATTATTCAGCAATAAAGAATGAAATATTGACACAAGTCACAAGATGGACGAACCTTGAAAACAGGGTGCTAAGTGAAAGAAGCCAGACATTAAAAAAAACCCCACATACTGTATGATTCCATTTATATGAAATGTCCAGAAATTTATAAAGACAGAAGGTAGATTAGTGGTAGCCAGGGGCTGAGGGCAGGGGGTGGGGAAGAGGAGTGACTACTAATGGGTGTGGAGCTTCTTTTAAAAAGAGGAAAATATTTGGAGGGGAGGGTATAGCTCAAGTGATAGAGTGTATGCTTAGCATGTACAACGTCCTAGATTCAATCCCCAGTACCTCCATTAAAAAATAAAGTGATTAATTTTAAAAAAAGACTAGAAAATTAGCTTTATTTATCATGCATCTCCTATGTACTGAGCACTATACAGAGATGATTTTGTTTAATCCTCACAGTGGTCCTACAGGCCACGATGCTTATCTCTCTTTTACAAATAATTCTCAGGTGGCTCAGAGAGATCCCTTAAGTTGTCCAAGGTCACACAGTTAGTGAGAGAGTAAAAAAACTGACCCAGTTCTAACTCCAAAGCTGAAGTTTTCTCCACTAAGCCACATGACCTTCCAGTTATTAGCCTAGCTAAGAAATTTTTAAATGATGACATTTTCCCACCTAAGTATACCTCATATCCTCACAGGAAACTGCCGCGAGTTCACGGCCTTGGCTTTTAAGGTTTTTGAATAGGACCAGTATATTTTGCATATTTAAAATTTGAAAAAGTTTCATGAAACAATACCTACCATTATGGTGATGGAGTCTGATTTTTTTTCCCCTTAAAATCCTAGATGTACTTTGGAACCCACCAATGAGCCCTGTAGTGTGCGAAACATTGCGTTTGAGCTGGAGTAAATCAGCCCCGTTTTCCATCCAGGATAACCTTAAGTGACAAGCGTCAGTGCTGGCGGCTGATGGGACGGGACTGAGGACCAGGCCAGGAGAGACGCCTGGCACCCAGGACCTCCGGCCACAGCTCCCAGCACACCCAGGGAGGCTGGTGCCAAGCCTGGGGACGTCCTGCCCAGAGAAAGACTGCAGATAGGAAAGGAGAGTGCCTTGCTCTGCCAGGGAGATCCAAGACAAAAGCCGGCATTCCAGGCCTCCAGGAAATGCAAAGGAGATGCCTGCAAATCCCCAAGGCCTGGGAGAGAAATCCTGGCAGACTTGATAAATACCTTCCGCCCCTGGGTGGGGTTCGACACCTTTGCTGCATCTTCCTCAGAGGTCCGAAGCACAGGAGGCCATCCGCCAGCAGAAGCTGTACCGGTTGGGAAGAGGCCTCACCTCCCAAGGTACCAGGCCTTTTTGTTTAAACAACAGCACCCAGCCTGCCAACACATACCTGTTGTTCATGAAGGTGTTAAAAAACAACAGCAACAACAACAAAATACTTGTATGCTTTTTTTTTGAAAGGTTGCTGGTGTTCCTTGTTCAAGGTTTCTTTTTGATTTCCAAGAATGGAAAAGGAAAATAGGAAGGAGATAGCACGATTCAGTATCTTCTAACATAAGTCCCACCAGCGCATTGATAGTCACCTTCAGAAACAGAACTCTGCCTTGGAAACATTCATGCATTTGACCAGTGATTCTGCTTCAAACAAAAAAAACAGACAAAAACACACTTCAGAAAATAATCAGAAATAACTAAAAAGTACAAAGGTTTGAATAAGACTATTAATTGCAGAACTATCTATAATGTGGAAATAACCTAGGTGTTCAATGAGAGGGGCTTGGATTAATAAATTTTGTTCCATCTTTATGACGGATTAGCATCATGCCATTATCAAACTGTTATAAATACTAAATTGAATGCCATGTAAAAATATCGAAAATACCTTATGACAAAACTGTTTTCTTAAGGATCCCTGGTTTGGAGAAAAAGTGTGTAAGTGAATCCAAAAAAGAATGGAAAAAGAATGGAAGAATATACTAAAAAATGTTAATAGTGTTTATTTCTTGTAAAAGGTAATCTTTGTTTTCTTCTTACACTCTTCAATATTTCCCTAGTTTTCTACAATCAATATTACTTCTAAAATTAGAAACAGATGACTCCAATTTTTTAAGAGAAGAAATCTGCTAATAGAAGACTCAGAGATTCAGATTATTTTGAAATTCAGACCTCATTACTCTAGAAACTCTTCCCTGTAAGTAAATACACTATATATATAGTATGATTTATGATTTACATATATATGTGTGTGTGTAAATCACACACATTCATCATGGCCCTAAAATAAAGGTGTCTCCATTGTCATCCAAACGTGATCGCCTTGATAACTCAAATCAGAACCAGTCATCTGCTAGGAGGAAAAGTATCAGTGTTTACATGAAGAAACTTTTTTCTTATCACTACCCATGTCTTCTTTAATGACTATTCCTTCATCTCCCATAATTCAGTCCTGAGTCAGCTTCTCTTTGCTTCTCTGCTCTCTTAGAGACCCTAGTGACCAACTCCACGTGGAGTTTTACCTCCATTTTTATGTAAATAACCCCCAGTTTCCCTTTCAGCCTTAGGATCTATCCTGGACCCTACTGTGTACCAGTTTCCCAGACTCAGGGGGTTTACTCTCTTAACCACACCCTTTCCTGATTTCCCCACTTGCCAACTTCCCACACTAGCTCCAAGTCTAGGAGTCTGATTCCCCCTTCTTCCTCTTCCCTCACATCAGATTCTGTGACATCTAGGCCGCAGTACTTTTGAATCATCCTCTCACTATTTTTTTTTCTTTTTCGTTTCTATTGCCCCCAACTCTAGTTCTGTTCTTTATTTTATGTGGTTAAAAATGGAGGCTTTGGAACCAGACTCTCCTAGGATAAAATCCTGGCCTTAGCACTAACTCGCTGTTACCTTAGGCAAAGTGGATTAACCTCCTTGAGCCTCAGCTGCTTTTGTAAAATGGTAATACCCCTTTCAAAGGGAAGTTGTGAGTTTAAATTAGCTCATATGCATAAAGAGTCGAGCCTAGTATGCAAATTGCTTAGAGTGCTGTAAATGATCACCAGATGTTGGTTGTTTATTTTAGATTATTTAAAAAACTGCTATTATTAATATTTTCTTAACGCATAAAAAACTCCACTGCTCAAAAAACGTTCCATTTAATTACAATATTTTTATCCCAATTAACTACAAAATCCTCACCTGGCCTTCAAGGCCTTCCCTAATCAGGCAAAATTTCTCTCTTGCTTTCGCTCCCACTGCTCTCTCAATTTCCAAACTGGACCTTGTACTTTCCTACCTTCGAGCTTCTGGTCACACTGTTTCTTTTGGTTTGTAGTGTCCTTCCCCCACCTCTGCTGCTAAATCCAACCCGTCCTTTAAAACTTTCCCAACCGTTTCTAATTCTCAACTTGATGAGCCTTCTTTCATTTTCTGAACTGTCACTTTTGGGTGTACCTTTCTAACGGCTTTTATAGCGTTATAAATATAATGACAATGTATTATTATATATTTTATAACCTATATAAATACATTATGTTGTCTTTCTTACCCATCGGTCTCTCTCCAGCACTCTTCGCCCATCACAGCTACTCAATACGTTAGCTGAATGTCAAGGTGAGGTTCGATTTTCTGTCCACACCGATCACATTGCTAATCCTCAATCTTAGTAAACTATGTCTAGAATTCCCTTCCCTTCACAGATTAAATTACATTCTAGTATGCTAGCTTTAGGGACATGGAACAAAACCTATTGTCATGTCATTTTTGTTGGTCACAGTCAGTTGATACTGGCACTTTCATGTGGTTAAACTCCCTTCAGGTCAGCCCCTAACCTGATGATTTGGGGCAATGTTTCTATGCACTGCTGTTTTAACAGATTTTCTTTTTTGCTCTTTATGGTGTGAGGTGTTGTATAGTTCATAAACTTGTAGATGTATTTATTTTTTAAATTTACGTATCTTATTAAAAATCCTTCAAGTCAAAACAGTAACACCAGGGTTCTAAATGGCTTCATTCGTGTGGCCAATTTTGAGGTTAGCACACATTTCTCTCTGCATATTACAAGCTGTCACAAACATTCATGTACTCCTCCAAAATATCAGTCCTTCCTGTGTAGAAAATTCATTTTGACACCAAAATGCATGCCATCCAATTCAACAAATTCAATCTAGGCTTTAGATCTGGGTGACTCCAAATACTCCAGATTTACTGGGAGCAGTGTGGGTGACGAGGATTCCCTGGGTGGAGCCAGCAGTGGTGGAACTGGGGGAGGTATTGAGAAGGAGGGCTCTCCAGGGTTTTGGTCACTCCCACCCACAGCCACAGTTCCTCCCACGGAGGTCGGCCCTCCCTCCCTCTGCCTCCTCCTCCCCCACCTCCCCGCCCCCTTCTCTCTCAACAATGGCTCCTGCTTCACAAACACACTGCTTTTAAAGCACCTAGTTCCTGGGATTTATACTTGCCAAGTGGCTTTGGGGAACAAGTTTTTCTCAAGCCCAGGCATCAGAAGGCACTTATTTCAACACTTCAGGGAAAAATAGTAACTAAGGAAATCAATAATCTCATCCCAAGCAGAAGAATGGATTTTTGTGAGGCTCTCTCTGTGGTTTCCTGCCTATCTTTGAAAAGACGTGTAATATTAGTCTCTTGAAGATTTTTCCTCTTGTGTTTTCTTACCTTACCTAAAGAAGTGAAAACTTTTTGCAGGTAGAAACTATATCCTGACCTAAGTATTATATGGTGACAAGGTGTCTTCAAAAACTGTACGTTTATTAAAGATAATCAGAGGACTTTATGTGGCTAAAATTCTTCAATGGCTAAAATTGAACCTCCTCTCTTTTTCAAAGTTTTTTTTTTTGTTTTTTTGTTTTTGATGGAGCAAAAGAACACAAATGAGATTAGGGGAGGAACTGCCAGAGCAATAGGAGAAAAGAATGCCAAGGAGGGGAAGGGAGAAGGCTGCAAAAGCAGAAGCCAGTGCCAGAGTGTTTCACTCAGAAATGTTCCCTGAATCTATCCAACATCTAAGCAAGGTGGCCTGAGGCAGGCTGTGAGCCCTAAATGCAAGGGTTAGATGCTATCTAAACCCAGGAAGAGTCATAAGAAAGAATTTACACGCATATCTCCAAAAGCAGAAAGATTTGAAGAGGACTCAAGGCAGAAGACCTGCATTTTTCTAAAGCGAGATGCCAATCGTGTCAGAGCTTAGAACTCTAAGATTCAAGGACAAAGGCAGGTGGAGCAAAGTCAGCCCATGAAGGAAAGGGAGCCACTGTCTTACTCAGGACTCTGCTATGCCAGCAGGTGTGCTCTGAGTCTTAAAGACACGTGCGACTGCCACCAGCCATAGGTTAACATTTGTGGCTGAGAAAGAACTGATGTTAGACACTTGAAAGCACTCTTTCAGGCAAAACTTTCACTCACTCAGTGAAGTTCCTACGTTTAATTTGGATCCCTCCCCCTTCCCGCTTCTCTCCTTTTTTCTTCTTTTCTCTCTGTTGTCTAAGAAATTAAAAAAAACAAAACAAAACACCCAAGGTAGTAAAGGGCAGGGCAGCATGGAGTTTCCTCAGCGTGAGAAGGTGTGAGTATAAGTGTCTGTGGATGAGGGTGGGGGGCAGAAACTAATATTTATTGGGCGTTTTCATCTGCTAGGCACCATAAATGCTTTACCTCATTGTAATTCTCGCAGCAAGTTCCTGGAGTGGGTGCTAATTTCCCCATTTTACAGAGGAGGAAATTAAGGTCGCCTAGGCTTACCCAGTTAGTCTCTCTGGCCCCAAAGCCCAACCCCTTTACGTGACGCCTGCATGGATGTCTCCTTATATTCTCTGCTCTGGCACTCAGAGCCAACAGTCTCAGAAACATACATTCCAAAGGTAGCAAAATGACAGCTGTAGCCACAATTGTGCAGTACTGCCTCCTTCTAGGCTCTACGTGGGAAATGAGAAAATCAATGTTCTTTACCAATTATTGAGCAGAAATCCCAATGGAATGGACGACAGGTCAGAAAATCTCACCAAGGCGTAGCCCCAGCACACTTGACCTAAAGGGAAGTGGGCCAAGGAGGCAAAGAAAACCCACTTCATTCTTAGAATAGTCCCTCTCCATTCTGAGTCCTCATGACTTGGACCCTGGCTGCTGCGTCAAGGTGGCCATGAGAATCAGGACTTCATTCCCCTTTGCACTCAACACTAAAACCTTCTCTTGGTCCTTTCAAGCTCAGAAGCCCGACCCAGAAACCCAAATTTCATCTTGGGTCCTCCCTTTCCCTAACTCTTGACAATCCATAAATCGTAAGAGTCCTGTGGTCTCTACCTCTTCCCTTTATGTCTCTGACCGCCCCACTTCCCTCCTTTCGAAGGCCACCATCTTAACTGAAGCCACACTCTCCTGCTTGGTTTATTCCAGCAGTTTCTAGTACCGAATGTCTCTGGCCTTCGCCTTAGAAAACTCCAAGCGATTTTTCTAAAGTAAGTACAATAATATGATCATGATATTCCTCTACTTTAAAAATCCCTCTATGACCTCCCATTGCCTTCAAGAGAACGTTCAAACATTTTAGCAGAGCATCCCAGGCTGTCTGTGGTCAGCATCTGCTGATTGCTCCAGCCTGAGCTCCAAGGTCTTGAGCCACTGGGTGTTCTAGGAGGTACATGCGTCCTCAGGCACTTGCTGTTCCTTCAGTCAGGATAATCCTCCACCTCCAACTGCTGCTGGTCTTTTAACACACACACCTTCACTCCAAGAAGCCTCCCTGACTGCCCAGCTCCCAGCCCACTCCTCTCCTGGCATTCTCATCCAGGTCTGCAGTTGCCTAAACATGTAGCCTTCTAGTCTGCAAATCCCTCCAGGGCAGGGTGAGCTTTACTCACCATTTTTCTTGGCATCAAGCTTAGTGCCCGGCTTGTGGGAGCCACTCAATTCATGAGTAAATGCATAAATGGGATAAAGTGGGGAAAGCCATGACGTGATGTGAGTCCAACCACGACTCTGCTACCAACTACTGTATAACCTGCTACTAAAATTCACGTTCAAACAAAATGCTAATGGTACAAACTATTACGTATAAAATAAATAAGCTATACGGATGTATTGTACACCATAGGGAAAGTAGCCAATATTTTATGATAACTATAAATGGAATATAATTTATACAAATTTGAATCACACACACACAAAATGCTAAGTTTTCCCATCCTTCAGGAAGGATCTGCACCTTGATCCTCACTCACCATCTGCCACCAAGTGCCACTCCCTCCCAGGGGTCAGGATGAGTATGAGCGTTTGTTTGTTTGTTTGTTTGTTTTCAGCATGTAAAGAAATGGAAGTGGAAACACACAGTACAACCTTCAATTCTGTGGATGACTCTTCTTCCAGATAATGAAGATCCAAGGGGATAAAGGGCCAAAAGAGCTCTCAAAGCTCCGTGAATGTGCAGAAAGCCGGAGATACGTACTCCTGTGGAGAGTAAAATACTGGGGGGAGAAGGTTTCAAATGTATTTATAAGATGATGGATTCTGAAGTCCTATTTATAACACAGGAAAGGCATCTGAGGAGACATCGTGGGCAGCCCCAAAAGACACAAACGCAGTGCACTGCTGCTGTCACAGAGCCACCTGACTGTGGGGTAAGCAGACAGCACCCTTATCCTGCCTCGAGTACAGACTACTTTCTTTAGGGCTGAAGTCTCTCCAGATATGGGTAACAAAAATAACCAAGAACATTTTGAGACTTTCTTGGTAAGTTTATCAAAGTAGATTTATAAAGAAAGGGGGAAAAAAGACAGTAGATCTGCAGTCAGTAAAGCCGAAGTAAAGGGGGAGTGTGATGAAGTTAATTCAGTCGTGAAAAGCACAGATAAGATAAACGTACAAGACTAGAAAACAGCAGTAGTCCTTAAAATTTGACCAGAATAACGTAAGAACAACTGTGGGGAAAGTACTATCTTACAATAGTAAGAAAATACTACTTTAAATACTATTATCTATTTGTAATACTTAAATGTAGTTTAAAGAATACTTATGGTAGGGAGGGTATAGCTTAGTGGTAGAGTGTGTGCTTAGCATGCACGAGGTCCTGGGTTCAATTCCCAGTACCTCCATTAAAAAAAACTTAAATAAGTAAATAAATCAACCTAATAAATAAACTTAATTACCTCCCCCCTCCAAAAAAAAAAAAAGAAAAAAAAAAGAACACTCATGGAGTTTTAGAACATAGCTGTAATCAAATCCAGCCCCCAGTGTTTTACATGAAGGCCTGGAGAAGGTAAATACCCAAGGTCATATATCACCTTAAGACAGAGCTACAGATTGAACCCCTGACTCCTGACCTCTAGCCTAACTAATACTCTTTCCTTTAGATTACTTAATACAAAAACACTGCAACAGATGACTGAGGCCCAAAAGAGAGACACTGGAGACAAGGCCAGATAAACAACACACTGTTAAGGAAAATCAGCATGTCGTGTGGAGTCACCCTCCAAGCCTGAGGCTGACATGGCAAAGAGCAGCAACGTTTTCTCACAGAATAGCCCTTTGTGCCGCTGTCAGAGGCAGGAGGCCGGCCCGGGGGGTGTGCTGCGCTAAACTGATTTGAGTTTCTTACTCAGAGTGCCGAGTCCCTGAACTCGAACGGTGCGCGTCGTCCAAGGGGCAGTGCCCAGGCTGGTTCGCTTTGCTGCCTTCCCTTCGAGGTTGGACGTCCCGACCAATTCCAGCCACTCTAGGAATGTTGAGGTCGATGGAATTCTAGCAGCACCTGCCGGGTGGGGAAGGGAGACAGCTGCCTGTGGAAGTGGTATGGAGGCTGGGAGGGCTGTTCATCCCAGAAACTCCATTGCTGCGTCTGCCGGGAATCTGGTGGTCAGAATGCTTAGTCCCCAGGAAGACTGGGAGGGGGAAATATCTCAAGTATTCCGGTCCTCCCCTCTTGGCACTGCAGAAGCAAGAGAAAATAAAGTAGGGGAACCTGTTGGACGAGACCGTCAAGGCCGCTCTCCTGTGCTGGAGGCCGCCCCCTGCTCCAAGGGGCCGCATGGTTCCTCCTTCCCAGCAGAGAAAAGGGCTAGGACCAGAGAACCTGGGCCTGCGGGATGCCCGTCTGCCAGGAAGAGCTGGGAGATGCTCGGTGTGAGGGAGCAAGCTTGAACCTTGTCGTTCTGGGTGAGGGTGACGTGTCCCAGTGCCCAAACATCATCGTGGGAAGAAAACGAAGGTGCTGGAACAGTCAGATCCGTACTTCGGCAGAGGCGCGCGGCTGAGGGATCTGATTCCAAAAGTTTGTCTCAGGAGGAAAAACAAACAAACATTTCACCTTTTTTTTCATGCCAGTCTTCTCTCCTCTGGGTCATTTTATTTCAGTGAAAAGATGGTTCTAATGGGAGAAAAAAGGATACGAGGAATATGACAGTGAAAGATCTGAGTCCGGAGCAGAAGGCCAGATAAACGCAGGTGAGTGAGAGATGTGTAGGCCCGTTTTGGGGAGAGATCTTGGTATCCTTCCCTCTAATGCCCTGCAGAATGAGGAAGTGGCTGTTTTCAACCACCTAGAACATCTGTCCACTAATAACCTCTACTCCGCAGAGGCCTGAGTTCTGCACCCAGGGAGTTTTGCATTTAGCATTTCAACTCGGTGTCCTCACCTTCAAGGAGTGGGATTAAACATTTAGCAAAGAGCAGACCGCAGAAGTGGCTGTGGTGGACACGCTTCTGGAAGTGGTGACCGAACAGGATGCTCTTTTTCCCATGTTTTCCTCAGGGAGGCGCCAGGACTCATTTGCATTTGTAAGTATCTCACTTGAATTCTGACTTGGTGATTTCTACCAACCTGTGTATAAACTTCGTGTACTAAGACATAAGGTATTTATCTTTTCATTGTAAGAAGGAAGCTAAATGACTTTCCCCCTCACTTACTATTTCCCCTCTTCTTTCCAAAGGCTGCCATATCGATTTTATTTTATGGTCTAAAAAAGGTTGCATCACATTTGGTATTCCACATGGGGAAATGGAAAAATTTATTAAAAAGTGAAGAAAACTGGTACTGCTTGCTTGGAAATAAGATACATGAACCCTTAAGAATGGGAAAACACCAGCCACTATGGCAGAGAGAGACATTTTTGCCAAATTTAGAACCCACTTGAAAATCACGGGTTCTAAGTTTAGAACTGAACTAAAAAACTTGAGCTCACATTGCATTTGGTATTGGTTTAAAAAAAATTCTAAGATACTAATTAAAGGAAAAAAATTATTCTCTTAGTAGTTCTAGAAGCTGGGAATTATTTTCAAACAAATTCTCTATTGGCTCAATGGACTAGCCTGCACTTAGAAAAGAAAACATTTTTTTCTAATTAAATTTTCCTTACAAAATAATGATTTAAAATCAAGGGGGAAAACACTTGGCTCAAGTCTTTAAAGAATTACAGAACTGTTGTGCAACCTTTGGACCCAAGCAAGTATACCAGGTGGTCATACAAACTGTATGTTTACACACTAGATGATGTCCAAAATGGAAGTCATTACCTCTACTGCTGGTAAACTTTAAGTAATAAAAACTCAATAAAATTTGAAACTACTACTCTAAACAAAACAAACTTTTACCAGCATTATTTTTATTTTCTAACTTAGATGTTAAGTTAGTTTTTGCAACATCGTTAAAAAATGGATCAGAATCGCTGCTATGGAGATAATTATAAAAAGTTTCAGACCCAAAAGATCCAAAGTGGTAAATCAAGTACTTGTAGTGACCAGACAGCGCTCAAAATGCACCCACTGGCTTAATGTGATTCCAGACAGCTAACAACTCTTGCAATTATAGGAAACTTAAAGATGTCTCACGCCACCTTCTGTATACCTAACACACATGTATATGTAGATATACAGATAACAGCCTAAGAAGAGGACCTGAAGTCAAATAATTAAAAATGTTAAACATGAACATTCAATGCAAATATTTGCCCCAGCAAGCATTCAAAAACACAAATGTTGGGATTTTTTTTTTCCTTTCTGTTTATTCCCATGGAATCTAAATACATTCTTGAGTGACTTTAGGGAGCGAGCTTAACAACTGGTGGATTGGACATTCTTCTTTCAGAAAGATCATAAACTCAACAATTAAGTTTAATTTCCAAGCACTTTCAAAAACTCTTGTTGAAGGACATAAAATTAATTCTTGAGTTGACTGACTTTATTCTTCTTACCAAAAAGATATAATTTGCACTGTTACAAAGAGGGTCAAAATTGTAAGTTGTAAAAGCAAACAAAGCAAAACAAAACAAAAAAACCTCACTGCATATGTAAGTGGAAAAGGATTTGTCTAGAATATATATTTTAATTTACTTGTTATTACAGAAGCATAGTTAAGAAGAAGTCATGTAGTTCTCTTAATAGCATGTGTAGCTCTCACTAAGATAAGGGACAGAGGTGATCATTTCTCAGATGTGGGCCAAAATCAGAATATAAACTTAGATTTCCTGGGTCCACTGGGTCACACGCTCCTGAATCCATGTTCTTCAACATACCTTTCTATCCTTTTAAATTAGCCACTAAAATTGAATTTCATAGTTTCTTCTACTAGTATGTCTTCAAAGTTGTTCTCATATTTATTTAAAATTCTTGCTTAAATAAATGTAATATTTTGGACCAGTTTCCTTCTTTCCTCAGGTCATGATACCTAAGATAAATGGAGGGAAATAAGAGAGACCTTTGTGGTAACAAAAAGTGTTTCTTGCACCTCTGTGTGGTGGGACGAGCACTGTTCTCAGATGGTAGTTGAATCCATTTCTGTAAAGCATTTGCTTTTCTTGGATTCGAGAGATAGAAAGGCCCACACATCTACACCAGTGCCAGGGAAACTCGGCTAGTGATCCTGGTGCCCTGGAAGATGACTGTATGTGGCATGAATAGGAATAAGAAAAAGCTGAGTCGTCTGCCGTCGTCCAGATACCTGATGGTCTTTGCAGAGACAGTTCCCAGATCCTTAAGCTGTCTTCCAAGCATTTTCAGTTCTTTATCCTGTAAATTTTTCTACAGAAATAATACATGAATAAGTTTAGCAAACAATTAGGAAGCCCAAATACTTGTATGCATTTGACCAAGTCTAAACCCAAGTATTTTCCTTTGCCTTAGACTTGTAGGTCTTGGCTCTAATTCTAGCCCATAAGATATACGTATTCCAGTCAAGAATTTAAGAAATGATGAGCAAACTTGTCGGTGGTAGGTAGGCTTTCCTGAAGAGAGATGTTTCTCTCCGTGGGTTAAGCAAAGATATACTGTGCTGACATTCCAGAAAAAAAAAGCTCCAATTCCTTGTTTCAAACATCTCATTAGATACGTCCACCTGGAACAGAGCAGAGACTCCAGAAATAGACCCACGTGTACATGGTCAACTGATTTTCAACAAGAGCAGCAAGACAATTCAATGGGGGAAAGGAAAATCTTTTCAACAAATTCTGCTGGAACAACTAGAAAGCCATATGGGGAAAAAGTGAACACAGACTCCTACTTCACATAATATACAAAAATTAACTCAAAATAAATGACAGACTTAAATGCAAAACTTAAAATAGAAAACACCTAGAGTTAAGCAAAGGAGAACATCTATTCACTATTGAAGGAGGCAAAAGTGTCTTAGGACACAAAAACAAACTTTCATACAAGAGAAAATTGATAAGCTGAACTTTATCAAAACTTTAGAATTTGCTCCTAGAAAGATATTATTACG